TTAGAAGAAGAAAAGAATTCACAAGGGTTAATTACTTTTACAACTATGTAGCTTATTCCAAGGCACCAGTAATTCCCCTGCCCCATCTTAATGTAATGATTAGGAAATCTGCTTGCCATAAAAATTATGATGTCCATATGTGGAGTAGTGCACTGAGTACCCTATTTCTGTTTTGAATAACTCTTCCCCCCTTATACTAAGCATCCCTTCTGCTTCTAAATCTAACTGTTCCCTTTTGACATAAGATGTGTATTTTTCTCACTAAAAGCAAACAAGCTGCTTTACAAGTCATAATTTCCCTATCCTGTACATGTGAACGTTCAAAAGAAGCATAGGACCCGCTTTTGCTACAGAGTATGTGCATGTCCCCAACCAGAGAAAATAAAGAACTATGAGTATGTAGCCAATAATACAAGTAGTCCTGAGATTTTTTGCAAACCAGGCCACCCTACCACTCAGAAGGTATTTTCAAGCTTACACCTGTATGTAAGTGTACTGGGATCTATATTTGACCTCAGTATGTGCCTCTCTTGGAAATACCCAGGCAAGCCATAGAAGAATAGAAGTATGAATTAGGTTAACCATTAGTTGTTTAATACAGGCAGTTCTTAGAAGCACATCTGCATCTGGCTTTTTATGTTTAAAAGGGCCAGAGGCAGTAGTTAAAATTAGTCCATGTCATCCATGAAATCTGTCTCAGTGCACTCAGTCCCCTACTACAGCAATCACTTTCCAATCACCTTTTAACTTTCAAAATGTTTATTTCAAACAAGTGGAATGAAACCATAAATTTTGCTTTTCAGTCAGCAAAAATGATTATTTACCTGTACTGCTAGTATAAGCTGACTATAAAAGTAACAATACAACTTTCAGGACAGTAGTTTGGATAGGATATAAATTAATTGCTCTTTTTTATGACTCCAGTTTTGCTATCTTTAATAAATGGTGTTACAGCTACATGTGTGCAGCACAACAGTGACACCCAGAGGCCAGGCAAGGGAACCAGAGCTTTTATTTTCTGAGTGGCTGTTTGAATTTTGGATCAGATTTCAATGAAATTCCATCTTTGTAAAAGTAAGTTTTCAAATGTTATTATTTAATACTAGTAGCATTTTAAAGTTTCTTTTGTCTTAAAAAATGTTGTCAATCATTGTGAACATTTAACGTACATCAAATGGCTTCAGACAACTCTATATATTAATACGCACCATTTCATTGCATATAGAATTTACATGCCCCGTGAAAGGCTTTTGCTGAAGCATTGCCACCAAGCCACAACAGTGCTGCACAAGAGGCTTGATCTTTCTAAATTGGGGCCTTTTATGTCTCTTTGCTAGCCGAGGTGGCTTTACTCTGAAATCTTGGTCAAAACAATTATCGACTCAGTTTTCTACTTGTGAGTACTGTATTGAGTTCAAAACCAACAGCTTACTTTATTAAAAATTTTACCATTTTATAAAAGACATGTCTAATTATGATGGAGATGGCTGTATTGTAATTAATATTTTGAGATAATTGTGATTTTGAGCTTAAATTATATACAAAAAATTGTCATTTTTGTATGTGTTAAAAGATTGCTATATTACAAATTAACTGTACTTTTCAGTTTAATTACAGTATTGATGTAAATAAAGCTGAATGAAGAAATATTTACTACTTTATTAACATAGATTGTGAATGTATTTAATGTTTTTGCAGTATAAGGACTTAATGAACTTGAAAAGCTGCTTCAGTTTATGTGCAAAAAGGTACTTTAAAACTATATTTTAAATCTATTGATTCAGTGAAATCAATTATCTTGTTAGTTAATTTGCACATGCAAGTTGTATCCTTCCAGTTTTCTTTTATGTATGACACTAATGGGTAAGGTGCATATTGTGTTTAGAATGCATTTTGCAGATGCTTTCTGTACATAAAAAATACAGGGACTAAAACAATGCTGTGCAGTGTATAACAGAGCCATTTTTCGGCTTTGGTGTACCCAACTTTTTCAGTATTTAAAAAGTGTTTTGAATAACATAAAAGAGTCTCTTTATTGTATAAATAATAAAATGTCACCTTATTGTAATTAACTTTTGTCATCTTTTAATATGATAAGATTTACTTATCCAAAAGCAATCACAATAATGCTGGTATTCCACAACTTACGGAAAATGAGTTGTTGAGCCAGTTCCTTCAAAGTTGCTCAAAATATTTGTTAATAAGTTTGATAGCTGCATCTGTATCTCTGCTTTTTTCATTAAGAGTTAATTGAGTAAACATTTATTTATTAAATATACAAGTAGAAGGAAAGTCTAACACTAATAACAATTGTCAGTTGATTGAGAATGATCCTTTAAGGTTTAGAAAGAGGTAATTAGTTGTTAGTCTCAAGTCAGGGTCCCTTTATATAATACCTGATGAAGTAAACCTGTTAGCAACTCATGAAAGCTAATGCTTGTACTTCTCTGAGCTACTCTATAATGTGCAAGTGTACCTTGCCTTCTTCCTTCATAGTTTAAACAAGTGTAAATGGTTTGAGAGGGAGTGTTCTCTATGCTGCACTCATTCAAGAAGTGTCAGAGATGATTTCTGGCAAGTTATAAAGTATAACTATGACATTATTGTGTGCATAGGAAGAAGAGAAGCTATTGCCTCTTAGATACGGAATTCAGAATTGGAACAGAATATATATTTTTATGTAAGGGGCTGGGGATTGGAAATCCAGATACCTGCAGAATGTCTCATGCCCTTTGTTCAAATCAAAGTAAGGGCAGGCAGAACATTTTCAGCAACCATCTTTCTCCTATAAATGGACTTTATGTTGAAAGTCACTCACCTTTTTTTGTCTGCTGACAACCAATTAACATGAAACATCCTTGTTCCTGATTTCCCTTTTCATGTTGCTGTGCATTTTAGACATCTGTTCTTTTCTAGAGGTGGTTACTCTTCAGTGCTGCTGCTCTGCACCAGTTTGTCAAACATCTTAATCTTTGAGAGTTTGATCCCTTGATAAAAAGTGCTAATTAAATTTAAAAATAGTAGGGCTAGATGGATTTGGTTTAATTTTGAATCCAGTCAACCACTTTAAATATTATTTTCCTGTTGCATAGGAAGGAGAAGGCCAAATACGAGTACATGGTACATAAATATATCGTATACAAGATAGCAGTCGTGCTAGACTACCTGATTTGAGGAAGTGAGGCAGGAATAAAAAGTGGTATTTTCCTTCCCTGTGCTTAGCACTATATAGGTTGCAATTACAAGACAAACTACTTCTACAAAACAAAGAGGTGAAGAGGTTCACCTATTCCTTGTGCAGGTGCCATTGTTTGGTCTACTGACAAGTACAACACAGTGGGTGCATCTACACATGTATTTGATCCAGGATCAGTTTACTCGCAAGTAAAACTACTCACAAGTAAGTGCTCCTGGGCAGGCGGGAACAGATTTGCTGCTAATGGCAGCAAACTGCTCCTACTTCCTGGGGCCCTGCAATGGGCCCCTGCTGCCACCAGGATGAGCTCTAGACTCCCCCTGGGTGCTAGCGCAAGGGCTGGCAGATTATACCCTGCCTCCAACAGCTGCCTGCCACCAGGGTGGGGACAGTGTCCTCCTGGCCTGGCAGTAGGGAGCTCCTGGCCCTGGCTCCCCAATCAGGGTAGGGACTTGGAAAGAGCTGCAGGGGAGGGGCAGGTCCCAGCAGTTGGCTGGGACCTACCTCACACCTGTAGCTCTTTCCAAGCCCTGTGCCTTGGTCACCCGATCAGGGCACAGGGCTGGGACCTGCTTCTGACCAGGACAGTTCCCAGCCTCCACTCCATGATTACAGGGCAGAGGCTGGGGAATCTGTTCCCCGCCCAGCTACATGAGTGCAGAGCTGGGTGGGGAACAAGCCGGGGAGCCTCTGTGCTCGTTGACCTGGGTGGGGGAACAGGTTCTCCAGCCCCAGCCAGCAGGGAGCTCCCAGTGCCAATTCCGTGGTCATGGGGCCAGTGCTAGGAGATCCTCATCTCCCAGCCCCAGCTCTGCTGTCGTGGGGCTCAGGCTGGGAGATCTTATCAGGCTGGAAGAGAAGGGTCTCCCAGCCCAAACCCCGTGACGGTGGAGCTCGGGTTGGGAGATAAGGATCTAAGGATCTCCTAGACCCCGCTCCCTGATCATGATCTCAGAGTGGGGGTCTTGGAGCTCCCTGCTGCTGGGGCAGGGAAACATGGTCCCCACCCAGCCTCTGGTGACAAAGCCTGCCCCAGCAGCTTCCAGGGGCAGGGAGCAATCTCCCGCCCCCTGGTGGCTAGCTGACTGGAAGCAGATTTGCTCCTGGTCAGTTATCTACATGTATGCTACTGCACTGTTACTAATCACAAGAAAATTTGCTGTTTGCATTTGCAGGTAGCAAATTTACTGGCGACTAGTGAGGTTTACTGCACAGTAATCATGTGCACATGTAGACACACATGCTTACTGCTTAGTGAACTACATTACTTTGCAGCAAAGCATCTCATGTAGATATGCACAGTACTGCCTAGAGATACCTAAGCCAGCCCTCAATGACCTAACAGGCCACAGAAGCAGTATAGCAGCATTAGTGTAGAGCTGAGTCCTGACTACTACTCAGCAGGCTGATTAGCCTGGGCAGAGTGCCACGTGGCATTATAGTACGTAGACATCCCGAGTTATCTACATATTACCACAGTAGTGTGGAATTCTCCAGAAAACATAGCCTTGAAGACCTGGCAGCTATTAATTTTCAAGACATTTTGAACCTACATATTGAATACTTCACATCCAAAGAATAACCATCAGTGTAAAGCTATGCATGACTAGTCCTTATATAATCTATCATTCAAGGCATGTCAAGCCTAAGAATAGAGAAATCTATTTGTAGCCACATAGCAGTTGAGACTGACAAAGGTGCCACTTCCAGCCTGAACAGGCATGTTTTTATGTCAGGTTAATGAAATATTAATGTGACATCTCAATAGTGTGTTTTCTACAACAAACAGAGGTGACAGTTGACATCCAATAGGAAGCATTTATTGTTTTAAAGTGTGCTAGTAACAAAGTAAATTTTGATCAGTTTTACTGTAAACATGTACACCCTTTGTAGCACATTTCAATCCTTACCCTTGCCTTTTTTGTTATACCGTAACTATAATTTAAGGTTTGGGGCATTTTAGAACAGGCAGACAGGTAACATATAATGATACTTGATGCAACAGTTAAAATTGATTAGCTGCTACAAAACGTATGGTCTTGGAATTCCATACAATACAACCCTTCAGAAAGCTTACTTTGGACTTTTACACAAGTCTTTTGACATTTGGAAAATTTTAAAAATTGACTTGTAGAAAATGTTACTAAAACCAGTATGCAAAGAAATCCTGAATTTACAGGGTATAATTCCAGAGACAGTGATGTTTTTAATGCAGTGTTCAGATGTGTAACTTTGGAAAAAACTCTAAAATTGTTGGGTACCTTTCTCAACATGCAGAATACAAATATTTTATGGCACAGGCCAGTTTAATATAGTTGACAACTGGGAAGACTAAGTTTGCTGCACTGGACAAACTTTGCTTGCACTTTAATTCATGAGCCCAACAAAGAAACGAAAACTTGACTATGATCAAGTAGGAATTCGGCTTCTTAGATATTCCAGTACTGCAGCTGTTCCTTTTGCCAGAATGGCTGCTCGAGGAGTGCGGAATGGGTTTCCTTCCAGCAGAAGCGTCCTAGGGAAACAGAGAAATGTGTTAGTGTCAGTGGTTTGCTTTTTTTATATTTGTATTCCATTCTTTTAGCAGAATTATAATCACTGCTACTCTGTTTCACAGTAGGATAGCTTCTCAAGAGACTTCTTAGTCAAATACTAGCATGCCCTGCAGATATGCACAGACAGGTCTATTTGCATGACCTGAGAGCATTCTGTACATTTTACGTTTAGGAAAACATACAGTATTCACTTGAGTCTAAGGTGAGGGGGAAAAAAAAGCCTAGACTTGAGGTTGGATACTGACCTGGGCCCGTGGCCAGAGCAGTAGCTGCTGCTTGCCTTGAGGGCTTCCGCCACTTGGCCAGGGCCAAAGCAGCCACAAAAGGTAAATGGGGAAGCATGCAACTGGCAGGGGACAGGTACTGGGGGGCAAGAAAGTGGCGGATGGGGGGGGGTCAAG